CTTTGGAGCCTATCCTGGCACTCGCTCTGGAGACCAGGCTGGCCTCAAACTCACAGAGATCCGCCTGCCTCTGCCACCTGAGTGCTGGAATTAAAGGCGTGTGCCACCAATGCCCGGCTAGAAAGCATTTCTTTAACTTCATTATTTTTGTCTTTTGTCTTGTAGGAAACATCACTTAATGACAAATCCATGCTTACAGAGTAAAAATGGCAGGCTTCCTAGATAACTTCCGATGGCCAGAGTGTGAATGTATTGACTGGAGTGAGAGAAGGAATGCCGTGGCCTCCGTGGTTGCAGGCATATTGGTAAGTGAGACAGATGAATGGGTGACATTATGCCTTTGCATTCATCTTTGAAGTTAATGCCAATGTCCTTAAATGGTGACAGCCTTTCACCATTTGCCCTGCTGCTGGGAATAGGTAATATTGTTACATATCCTGGTAGGGTTTCCTTTTTGTGTTTGGAGGTGGGGTATTGTAGTCCAAGCCTGCCGAGCACTTCTGTGCTTCTGCCTCTGCCTGGAAACTGTTGGGATTACAGGGGATCTGTGCTGCCTTAGGTTTCTTGTAGTGCTGGGGTTAATGTGCATGAGGCAAGGCCCTTACCGGCCGAGTTACAATCCAGCCCCACGTGCATGGTTTTATTTCTCTTTGAGGATGACTTAAATTTGGTATCCTGTCTTTGGTTGCAGCATTTTTCACAGTCTCAGAATTTGTTGTCACTCAGTGTGACTGACTCACTGAAGATTAGCTGTGTGGACAGCGGTGATACCTTACATTATGTAAGAATGGAAGCCTCAGCCTGAGACCCAGAAAGAAGTTTATTTTGCTTTGAGATGGGGTCTCATGTAGCTCAAACTCACTCTGTATCCTAGGCTGGCCTTAAGTGCTAGGATTCAAGGTGGGGACTGCAGAGTGGGCTTGCTTGCCTACCTTTCTGTTTTGTTTTACTTAACTTTTTTATTATGGAAATATGAAGACTTTAAAAGAAAGTAGCGGTGGGTAGGGTGGGTAGAGGTGAGGTGAAGAGGGAGGGTAATGTTGGTCTCACTTGCAAACCTGTGGTCTGGCTTCCCAAATCTTCTGTTTCATCTTTTTTGTTTCCGGACTGGCTCTATAGTTGAGGACCCTCTTAGCTCCTGGTCCTGCCTCTGCCTCCTGAATACTGGGGTTGCAGTGGGAGCCACCGAACCCAACTTGTTTTCTTTTGTTATTGATGTTTTGTAAGTCATGAATCAAACAATCGTACTTTATATTCTGTGAACCACTTCCTGCCTCTGAGGTGGGATAAGTAGAAAGACCAATTACTAGTCCCTGATTTACTGATGTGTTCAGTAATATCCTTAGAGCCCTGCTTGTTCTGCCTGTTTGCCAAGTATGACTTCACTTGCTGCCTGGGACAGAGTGACCTGGAGGGATGGCTGAGAAATGGGCCGTTGCCCTCAACAGCCTCCTGACTGCCATGTAGGCTTCTGTAATATCTCACTTGCCCGCTCACCGCCCACCTTGTGGTTTTAGAGTAGAAAGTGAGAATGCAAACTGGACCTGGGATCAAGACCTTTCTGGAGCTGCCCTGGCTTCCATCTGTCTGTCTGTGACATCTCCTGTTCTGGCTTCCGTCCATCCGTGACATCTCTCTTCTGCTCTCATTGGTGTCTGAGTGCTTCTTCTAGAAAGACTCCTACAACACCTCTACTGCTTTAACAAAACAAGTTTCAGCATCTTTTGTATTTTTGTAATATGTTTACCTCCCCACAAACACTTGCTTTGGAGTCAGGGTCTAAGTTATAGCCTAGGCTGGTCTCAAATTTGGGGTCCTGCTTCTGCCTCCCAAGTGTTGGGATTACAAGCATGTACCACCTTGCCTAGCACTCTCCCTCTCTCTCTCTCTCTCTCTCTCTCTCTCTCTCTCTCCTTTTTTTTTTTTTTGAAACATGTATCACTCTGTAGCCCTGGTTTCCCTAGAGCCACCCAGAGCCCAGGCTGGCCTTGAACTGCAAGTGAACCTCTGTGTGCTGGGATGATAGTCATGGTCCACCATGCCCATGACCAGTCTTTCTCACTCCTTTTGCTTTAGCTTTTTAAAAATCATATGTATTTATTTGTGTGTGTGTGTGTGGTACCTGTATGCAGGTCAGAGGATAACTTGGGGAGCTGGTTCTCTCCTCCTACTGAGTGCATCCCTGGGGTGGAACTCCAGTCCTCAGACTCAGAGGCTCATGTTAACTGCTGAGTCATTGGCCTCTTTTTCTTCTTTCTTTTCCACACAAGAACTCATACATCCCAGTCTGACTTTGAACTTGCTGTGTAGCCAAAAAAAAAAACGACCTTGTACTGCTTTGCCTGGTTTATGTCGTGCCAGGGATTAGACTGAAGGCCTGGTGCAAGCATGAGCTCTGCCAGCTGAACCGAATCCCCAGCAGGAGAACCCAGGTTATTGTTTTGTTTTGATTTGTGTTTGTTTTTTGAGACAGGGTTTCTCTGTGTAGCCCTGGCTGTCCTGGAACTCACTCTGTAGACCAGGCTGGCCTCAAACTCACAGAGATCCACCTGCCTTTGCTTCCCAAGTGCTGGGATTAAAGGCGTGTGCATCACCACCACCCCGAGAGAGCCCAGGTTTAACTATTATTTTACTTAATAAAAGAGTTTGGGGCCCGGCATTGGTGGTACACCCCTTTAATCCCAGCACTCGGGAGGCAGAGGCAGGTGGATCTATGTGAGTTCCAGACCAGCCTGGTCTTCAAGAGCAAGTTCCAGGACAGCCTCCAAAGCTACACAGAGAAACCCTGCCTCAAAAAAACAAAAAACAAAAACAAAAACAAAAAACAACAACAACAAAAAAATTTGGACTTTGTTGGTTGTATAGTCAAAGGTGCTTGAGTTGTTGATATGAGATTACTATACCTACTGTGCCTGCATGTCAGTCCTGGGCTCTGATGGAGTGACTTGCGTTGTGTGGTTACTGTCAGGACTCACTGATGTGCAGACACTTCTGGGGGGTGGGGGAGGATTTGGAGCCTTTCCATAAATGTTTTAAAATGAATTTTGAACTCTCTTAAGCACTAAGATTATGCAAGTCTCTTATTTTTGTCAATTTAGCAAAGGGCTCTCACACCTTTCCTTAATTTCTCTGTTTAGGTGTGCTTAGCTTGGTTGACATGGAAACCTTACATTTTATATACTCATGGCCAGTCAGCTACAGGGTGCTTAATGAAGTCACGTAAATTAAAACAATAGCAGGTTTTTTTTTTAATAAAAGTCTGGGAGCTGTGACAGCTGCTGCTGGTAAGTTAGTAGCCCAGCAGAGCAGCCTTCCATGGGACAGAACTGCACTGCAAGGAACTCTTCAGAGAGAAGAAACCTCAGGAGCCAGGGAGTGCTGCCTGGTTTCAGAGGCTGCTGGCTAAAGGAGGCTGCTGCTGAGTCCTGAGGTAGAGGGAGGAAACAGACCATTCCCAATGAGTCTCTTACTCAGGTTTGACTGGGTAACTCACATCATCAGATGTAAAGAACAAGTAGACCAAGGATGCCTATTTTTATAATCTAGCACCCCAAATACAAAAGTAAAAGTACTTTGCTTCGTTTATACTTTGGGGATGTCAGCTGAAGAGCAGGTGCTGTGAGTTTAATGTCTTGTGGTCCTGGGCTCTTTCTCAGTTTTTTACAGGTTGGTGGATAATGATCGATGCTGCTGTGGTCTATCCTAAGCCTGAGCAGTTGAATCACGCTTTTCACACATGTGGTGTGTTTTCTACACTGGCTTTCTTCATGTAAGTGTGAAATGGTTTTCAATTTAGAATTGCCTTTTGAAAAAAGTAGTCTTCCTTAACCTTTAATGGTTTTTTTTAAAGGAATTCTAAACTTTATTGATGGATTCTCTTTTTTTTTCTACTTTTTAAAAAGTATTTGTTTGTTTTTTTATATTTTTATGAGTACTCTGTCTGCATGTACACCTGCACACCAGAAGAGGACACCAGATCTCATTATGGATGGTTGTGAGCCACCATGTAGCTGCTGGGAATTGAACTCAGGTCCTCTGGAAGAGCAGCCAGTGCTCTTAACCTCTGAGCCATCGCCAGCCCTGCTGGATTCTTCTTTAACACAATGAATTTACTTCCCCTCCTTTTTTCTTTTTTTTCTTGAAGACTGGGCTTCTTTGTGTAACAGTCCTGACTGTTTTAGAATTCACTTTGTAGATTAGGCTGGCCTCAAACTCAAAGAAATCTGCCTGCCTCTGTCCCCCTAGTACTGGGATTAAAGGTGTGTGCTACCACACCTGGCATAACAGTTTTACTTCATTTATGTGTTTAGTGATTGATTCATTTACTTTGAGATAGGGTCTTTCTATGTAGCCCTACTGGAACTCAACATGTAGACCAGAATGGTTATATTATGAAAGATAAAACTGCTTGCTATCCATTCAAGCTGCCGCAAGCCGCCCTTCTATTAGCACACCTGTTCTCCCTCTCGCCCATCTGTGAGCACACCTGTTCTCCTCTCTCCCATCTGTTGCACACCTGTTCTCCCTCTCACCCATCTGTGAGCACACCTGTTCTCCCTCTCACCCATCTGTGAGCACATCTGTTCTCCCTCTCACCCATCTGTGAGCACACCTGTTCTCCCTCTCACCCATCTGTGAGCACATCTGTTCTCCCTCTCACCCATCTGTGAGCACACCTGTTCTCCCTCTCTCCCCTTCAATTAGCACACCTGTGTAGCCAGCCCCTAACACCTGTCTCCCTCTCTCCCATCTGTGAGCACACCTGTCTCCCTCTCTCCCATCTGTGAGCACACCTGTCTCCCTCTCGCCCATCTGTGAGCACACCTGTCTCCCTCTCTCCCATCTGTGAGCACACCTGTTCTCCCTCTCCCCCATCTGTGAGCACCCCTGTCTCCCTCTCCCCCATCTGTGAGCACCCCTGTCTCCCTCTCCCCCATCTGTGAGCACCCCTGTCTCCCTCTCCCCCATCTGTGAGCACACCTGTCTCCCTCTCTCCCATCTGTTAGCACACCTGTCTCCCTCTCTCCCATCTCTCTCAGTTTAACCCACAGCCTTAGGCATACTGAATGTGCTATGACACTAGGCTGCACCCTAGCTCCTGTCTAGTCTTTTTAATATTTTGCCCATGTATGTAGGCATGTTACATGTGTGCATCACCCATGGAGACCAGAAGAGGGCACTGGACCCTCTGGAACTGGAGTTACAGATGGTTGTGAGCTAGCATGTGGGTGCTGGGAATGAAGCCTGGTCTTTAGCCAGTGCTCTTAACTACTGAGCCATCTCCAGTCCCCACCTGTTTATTCCTTAATGAAAACTTTAAAATGAGATAACTAACATTGAGTCATCTGTATGTCCGCGTATAAAATAGGTAGTCCCATATTTGGGAGACAAAGCAGGAGGATAGATGTCTGTGAATTGGAGGCCCGCTTGGCCTGTGTAACAGGGCTGCCATAGTGAGCTCCCATCTCAAAAGAAAGAAAAAAGAGGAGGAGGGAGCCAGCTGCTGCTTCATAGTCTTTGGGACAGGTGAAAAGCTAATGTGTTTTCTGGGTGTGCTTCAGGGGAAACAAAAAGAATAATATTGCTATGCATGTGGATTTCTGTTATATTAACTACTTAACTGTCAAAATCTTGTCTCTAGTTAGGAAATACTCTATGTCTCTTCTAAATGATATTCAGAAACCTGCGTATATTTTACTGACCTGAAAGCTCATTGGTTGATTTTGTGTTATTCTAGGATAAATGCTGTATCCAATGCGCAAGTGAGAGGTGACAGCTATGAAAGCGGCTGTTTAGGAAGAACAGGTAAGGGAGCTTTGAGCTGGGAAGGGACGAGCACGAGTCCAGAGAAAAGTCAGAGCCTCCTCAGGAGTCTTTCCAGTCTTTAGTTTTGCCTTGTGTGTACCAGTGTTTTGCTCCAATGTATGTAAGTGTACTGTGTGCAGTGCCTGTCACCAAGGAAGCCAGAAGATGTTAGAACCCCTGAAACTGAGGTATAGACACTTGTGAGCTGCCACACGGGTGCTGGGAACTGAACCTGGGTCTTCTGCAAGAGCAGCTAATGCTCTTAACAGCTGATTCATGTTGTCTCCAGCCCTACACCTTAGTTTTTAAGATAAGGTCTCTCATTAGTCCTGGAGTTCTGCCTGTTTATCCGCCTGCCCCATGCTGGGGCACATGTGTGCCCTGCTGCATTTGCCTTTTGGTTAATAATATGCAGGTGCTGGAGATCTGCACACAGCTCTCTTGCTTGTGCAGCACGCACTCTACTGACTGAGCCATTTCCCAACCAGAACCCATGGGGTGGCACCACTGACACAGTGGGAGTCTCCCATCTCAACTGACCAGTCTAGAAACACCCATATTGACATGCTCAGAATTATTTCCAGAGGGATTTTCAGTCTCATCAAACTGATAGTCAAGGTTGACCATCACTCCTGTTTCTAAAAACGGGTGGGATCCACTTGAGCATCCAGATAATTGTCACTGAGGCTCTAGACATCCATAACCCAGACTGGAGTGACAGACACTCATGCCCTTGAACTCAAGAGGGTGTAGTCCAGGTTGTCTTCCTTATAGCTCCTTCCTAGAGCAGTCGGACTGTCCCTAGCGACAGCTGCCGTGCAGTGGTTTAGATGTGTGATTAGGAGCACACTGACACAGAGGGACGCTGATGTAAAGCCACTGCCATCTACTGGAGGTGGCTATCTGACACAGCAATTGTTTAATGATGTGCGCAGCAGGTGGCCTTTCAGTTACGGTTTAATAAGCCAATTTAGTGACATAAGTGTCAGTGTCACTTGCCTAACTTGCTCAGACATTAGTTTCTCTACAAGAGGTAACTTTTCTTCTTTTCCCCTTTCCAAGTTGGCTAGACCTTTTTAGCTCGTGTGCGTGTGTGTGTGTGTGTGTGTGTGTGTGTGTGTGTGTGTATGCATGTGTGTGTCTGTGTGTCTGTATGCATGTGTGTGTGTGTGTGTGTGTGTATGCATGTGTGTGTCTGTATGCATGTGTGTGTGTGTGTGTCTGTATGCATGTGTGTGTCTGTATGCATGTGTGTGTGTGTGTATGTAGGTGTATGTATGCGTGTGTGTGTGTGTGTGTGTGTGTGTGTATGCTTGTATATATGTATGCGTGTGTGTGTCTGTATGCGTGTGTGTGTGTGTGTGTGTGTATGCTTGTATATATGTATGCGTGTGTGTGTCTGTATGCGTGTGTGTGTGTGTGTGTGTGTATGCTTGTATATATGTATGCGTGTGTGTGTCTGTATGCGTGTGTGTGTGTGTGTGTGTGTGTGTGTGTTTAATCTTCATGAACTTAAGTATTGCAGCAGGAATATATGTGGTACACACTACCCCAGCTGTTTGTAGTGCCGCACGTTTTAGAGCTTTGAGGGGGAGCAGGATCTTAACGCCTCCTCTTTACACAGGTGCTCGAGTCTGGCTCTTCATTGGTTTCATGCTGATGTTCGGGTCACTTATTGCCTCCATGTGGATTCTTTTTGGTGCATATGTTACTCAAAGTAAGTGTGCATTTCTCCTTTATGTTACAGGAGGGTTTTATGTTCTGCTTCGTCTGTCTGGTTCATTTTGGAATAAACGTTAGTGTGATTATTGAATTAGGTTAAATTCTTCCTCTGTGTGAAGACCCACTAATTAATAGAACCTGTCTTTGCAAGTGGGCTGGCTCATAGAAATCACAGCCCCTAACCAATCCAGCCCCTCATAGCTGTCTCTAGAGTTTCTGATGCCTTCCCTTGGGAAGCTGAGTTCTGGGGGTCGCAGTGAGAAATACTTACAGGTCTGTTCCATCCCCTTATGCCCAGAATACTGGAAATGAGGCTTCTGTTTCCTAGTTTGCAATGAAACCTGATCGGGATGGACATATGGCCCATTGTGGTCTTTGCCATATTTATTCTAGGCATTCAAGGTGTGTTATTGCAGGAGTGGACTTGAGTGGAGTGTATTTGCCTGTCGGGTGGTGGGCTGGACCCAGCTGGGAGTGCTTTGTGATATCCAATCGTTTTTAGTTTGTTTCCAGACTGAGTTAGAACTCAATAGAGAGACCGTGGTAGACAATGGCTTCTGCTCGTGTCCTCTGAGAAGCAGACACTGTTCCTGTTCCTCTCGTGAAAACAGGAGTAAACCAGCATCCATGCAGTGTGGGAGCCTTCGTCAGGGTTGTGTTTGTTCCTGGGTCTTAACCTTAAAAAAACTTCACAGTGGGAAACATCTCTGTTACCATCTCTTCTGATTTACCAGCGGTGCTCATTCCATAGACTTCCAAAATTGGAAACAGAAATTCTGAGTTCTGACATGATACCACAAGTCCTGGAGTCAGCCCTTGACCTTGTGTGTAGTTGTAGTCAAAGCAGGTATACTACACCTGATGTGCTGGCACCCGAGAGGCTGAGGCAGGAGGATCTGACAGATACTGGGGTTCAAGATGACGATCAGAGAAGCAAAGCAGCCAGCCACTAGCTCTTACCTGTGCCTCAGACTGAAATGGCCATCCTGGAGTGCAATGCAGACTTCACTGCTCTCCACCAAGCCTCAAGCTGCACCCCCACCTCCTTAGTGCTGGGATTAAAAGCATGTGACCCCAAGTGCTGAGATCAACTTTGTGTGACTAGATCAGTTTTGTGTAGCTCAGGGTGGCCTTGAACTAACGGAGATCCGCATGCCTCTGTCTCCTGAGTCCTGGGATTAAGGGTGTGTGCCACCACTGCCTGGCTCTATGGCTGTGGCTGGCTTCGCATTTTGATCCCCAGTGGTTTTATTAGATCATAAACAATATATCACCACAGATCTCTGAGTTTGAGGCCCAAGTTCCAGGACAGCCAGAACTACATAGAGAAACCCTGTCTCCAAAAACTAAACCAAACCAAACAAACAAAAAAACTAAAACAGGTATACTAAAAATTTTACCTAAAATCACTTTCAAACTGCTTGTGAAAGTTTATATGCAACATAACTGAACTTCATGTTGGGTCCCAACTGAACACAAGAGTCCTATTCCAAAGATATGCATATGCAAGTGTCCCCAAATCTAAAAACTGAAATCTGACCCCAGGCATTTTAGAGAAGGTATATGCATCTGGTGTCACTTAGTGGTCCAAGTACTGTTGCAAATATTACATACTGTCACTCACTTAATTCCCACTCCCTGTGGGGGCACAGAAGAGAAAATTAAGACACTGAGGTTTATCAATGTCAAGGCAGTGCATTTAGTCAGTAACAGAATTAGGATCCAGCACCAAGAACTCAGCTCTGACTTGGAACTCACAACCAACCTGATGGTTTGTTCTTTCTGTGGTCTCAAAAGCTCAAAATGTAAACGGGTTTCTTTATCCTTGCCAGAGTTAGTTTACCAACACTCACGTCTTCCTGTGGATATATTAGCAGATTCATTCAGTGAGGAAAAGAACATGGTTGCTCCTTTTGTATCACTCACATTTGATGGTGTCACACATGAACTCAGGAATGTAGCTAACCCCCTTTAAAGTTCTGTGTTGGCCTTACCGGGCAAAGCCACTTTCTTGCCATTGCTTTTTTTTTTTTTTTTTTTAAGACAGTGTCTCACTGTTTCCCAGACTGGCCTCTGCCTCCTGGACTGTGGTGGTCCTGCTTGCTGCTCCAGCCTTCCACACCGCTGGATCCTCCACACACTTTGACACTTTGATGTGGTCTGGGCCCTATGAGTTAGACAGAATGCCAGATGAGTTCTTTGACATTTATCTAGAGTAAAAGTAATCTTTTGGTTTGTTTATTTTGGTTTTTGTTTTTCTAGACAGGGTTTCCCTGTGTGTAGCTTTGGAGCCTGTCCTGGAACTCACTTTGGAGACCAGGCTGGCCTCGAGCTCACAGAGATCCGCCTGCCTCTGCCTCCCAAGTGCTGGGACTAAAGGAGTGCACCACCACTGCCCATCATAATCTTTTGTTTTACAGAGTTGTTTATTTCATTGAGGACATGGTAGACTTGGTGCATAATGTCCTGTGCCCTGATACACAGCGCGTGTCACTCTGAGTGGCTTGGGCTGTGTCACGACTGTTTCTCCTCTAATCTCTCTTGTTTTTGTGTGCAGATATTGATGTTTATCCTGGACTAGCTGTGTTCTTTCAAAATGCCCTTATATTTTTTAGGTAAGTTGTCTAATTTCCTTTGCTCTCTTTTATTTTTTAAGGAAGATTTATTTCTTTGTCTTGTGTGCATGCATGAGGAGGCCTGGAGAGGGCATCGGATCCCCAGCAACTGGAAACTGTGGGTTAGTGAGCCACCCAGTGTGGGTGCTGGGAGCTGAATCCTGGTTCTCTGCAAGAGCAACCAGTGCTCCTAACTGTTGAGCCATCTTTCCAGCTCCATGTTGCCTAATTTCCCATTTACACTTAAAACATCTACAGAAATGTCAACAGCATCATGGCCGTGGAACATTAGTGAGAGCCTTTTAATCAGGGTCCTGCTGCGTATGAGACCTGTTCATCTGGATGCTTCTGTGTTGCCCTTTAAGTTCCTGCCATTGCTTAAGTGTCAGGTGGTGTTCTCACTTCACAGGAGACACACTCAGAACTCCTGAAGACTCAGAATAAATGCAGAGCAGGAACTGAAACCCAGACTGTTGCTTCCACAGCCAGTGCTTTGCTTAACAAAATCATGAACATTTATGAGAAAGATCCAGGGCCTGGAGGTACACTCCTTCAATCCCAGCACTCAGGAGACAGAGGCAGGAGAATCTGTGAGTTTGAGGCCAAGCCTGGTCTACAGAGCGAGTTCAACACTGAAGACCTTTGTTACTGGCCACTAGTAGCAATATGGCTATGGTGTGGTGCAGTTTCTTATGCTTGGGGTTCATTGCATTAAAAGTACCAGTTTGTAGATTATATAAAATTCAGACTTTTTAAAGAATTACTTATTTGTTATGTATACATTGTTCTGCCTGCATGTACACCTGCGTGCCAGAAGAGGGCACCAGATCTCATAACAGACAGTTGTGAGCCACCATGTGGTCGCTGGGAATTGAACTCAGGACCTCTGGAAGGACAGTCAGTGTTCTATCCTCTGAGCCATCTCTCCAGCATCCAAATTCAGACTTTTAAACTAGTATTTCTTTGGCTGTTTTCCTGTCCATCTTTTCTTTCTTAGGCTCCAGGTATAGTAAGGCTAGGCAGTGGTGACGGCTGCGGCTGCTGTGGCTCCTCTGTCACTGTCTTCCTCTCCTTCCTCCCTCCTCCCACCCCTCCTCCTTCATCTCCCCCTCTTCCTCTTTCTCCTCTTTTTCTTCCCTCTCTCTTCTCTTCCTCCCTCCTGCTTCCCCCTTTTCCTGTACCCCACCCACCCAATAATACAGGGTCTTTCTGTGTTGCCTAGGCGGGCCTTAAGCTCCAGGTTCCCATGGTCCTCCTGCCTCAGCCTAAGTAGCTGGGGCTAGAGGAGCCGTGGTGCCCAGCTCTTACGTTACAGAGGAGCCGTGGTGCTCAGCTCTTACGTTACAGAGGAGCCGTGGTGCCCAGCTCTTACGTTACACTTGCAGAAACAGCTACAGCTCTGTGGCCACCTATGCTTCTGTTGTGCTTTTCCACTGTCTTCTCTCTGTGCCATGTAGGTAGTTCCTAGCACCCTGGCTTGAGGCTCGCTGAGCCGAGGTCTTCAGTGTGCAGGGGCACTGCTCACTTCAGACACTGTTTTCAGTCCTAGGAGCTCAGTTCAGGTCTTGTGTTCCCGTTTGTGTGAGCACACCTGACACCATTTTTTTTTTTTTTTTTTTGATGTCCTTGTCTAAGGCCCATTATTTCTGTTTATTTTTCAGTTTGGGACTTTTTCCCCATTTGTGGCATTCCTTGCAACGGTTAGTTGGGATTATAGTGTTTGGTATTCCCTTTTGACACAGTGTTTTTTGAGCCCAGGTTTCATGTTTCCCAGCCTGGCCTCAAGCTCACCAGAGCTGAGGATGACCTGAACTCTGGATCCTCCTGCCTCCATCTCCCAGGTGGTGGGCTGAGGGATCAGGTCCTTCTTATCTGTTGCGACAGACACCGCATGCCACTCCTGCAGTGTGTTTTTATGGTTAGACTTTGACATGCGCTCATCATCACCCTCTTTAGACGCTGTGCCATGGGGAGTGCTTTTGTTCATTTTGATTCAACCACATCCCACCCCTCAGCCAGAGGCCTGGTGCAGTCCCGAATTCAGCCTGCAGCAGTTGCTAAGAAGTGGTCTGTTTTAGGATGTTTCAGTGAGCATAGCACAGATAAAGGTGTTCTTAGGACTATAAAGTGGCCTTGTACGCTAATGTGTTTCCCATGCAGTGGCTGTCTTGGCATTTCGGGGTGTTCTTCACCCCCCGACACCACGGTGCAGCTACTTTACAGCACGAGCATGTCCCTCACAACACCTGTGATCTTGTGTTTGGTTTTTGATGTTGATAGACAGTCAGTGGCTTCACTCATGGGCTTGCCTCTCAGAGCTTGTTCATGTCACCTCACAGCTTTGTCCATCCCCTCTAGCACTCTGATCTACAAATTTGGAAGAACTGAAGAGCTCTGGACTTGAGATCGGTCGCCTCTCCAATTGCACCCTCCTCCTGTTCTGTTCTATGCGTAGATAACTTTATCTTTGGTATGATTTACACATAGTCAAATGGAACAGTGTGCACTCAGTGTTCTGTTCCGTCACAGTTTTGTGCCCTGCGTTTTGAATTGCTTTGGCAAAATGTCTGTCTTGGTTTTTCATTGATTGGACAACTTAGTATATACATAATACATGACTACTCAACACATAATACCTGATGCTGATTGTCAGGGTTTTAGTCCCGAAACTCTAAGATTGGTATGTGTCCTGAGCTGAGGCTCTATTGTCCTGGTGTTTAGGGGTAAATACTCTGCCTCAGTATCTGATGTTTGAAAATGTGCAAAATATTCAGCTCTGTGACTCTAGGAGCAGCCCTGAGCTCTTAGAGAAGTGATGTCTGCCAGTTGTAATTTATTTTGATTGGAAATGATACTTTTTAAAAGGAGAAATGTTTGTGCTTACATGTGCATTAGAGAACTGGACTTTTTATATAAAGAGTTTTAAATGCCCAAAGGACTAGTTTGAAAGCCCCCTTTGAAAAGAATTTCTCTAACATGACTTTTATTTGACTCTCAGCAAGCCTCCATTTTTGAGAGTTAATGTAAAAAGTGGTAGGCAGCTGAGCAACATGCTCCCCATCTTACTACGCAGCCTCAGTGCTCCCGGGTTTGTGTCTTGCACGGCTCAACAGCATCTGCACACACACACACACACACACACACACACACACACACACTCACTCAAGCGAGTGACCCTGAGACAGGCGCTGTTGAGACACATGTCACAAGAAATGGAACAGTCAGTTAAAGATAAGACCTCTTCCTGAGGGGCACTGTGGCCTAACGCAAAGACAGGCACTTGATTCTCTTTGTCCTTGACTCCCTCTGCTGGAGCCCTCAGGCGACGCTGCACAAAATACATGTATTGTGTTCTGAAAGTTCACACTCCACTCTAGAAGCCCTTCTCCACGTTGAGAGCTGCGCGTGTCCATGTATATTTCTGTGGACCTTTCCTTGGTTGTAAAGATTCTGTGTTGCACTTTTAACCCCAGAGGGACTTTTATAAACCCTTTGCTGTAAAGCAGTAATGTCAAGGGTAACATATGCAACTTCTGACGCAGGCCTTACTCTCCTTAGCGGCCTCCCCAAGAGGCCTCCCAAGCACAGCGCGGGAAGCACAGCACAGCGCGGGAAGCAGCTGCCGATTGCTGAGCCTTCCTCTAGATATGTCTCGCTTCATTACTTTCCTGATGTTTCCTCAAAATGCCGGCTTTGTCTTGCTTCCAGAAAACTGCAAAGCTAATCACATGTTTCCATTCCCAGAATCTAATGCCATAAATATCCCTCTCTCACATACTGTACAGTTAGGTGTGCTGGGAGAATGACCCGTGAAACCTGCTCTCTGTTCGTTCCTCATTGTCCAAGTTAACCTTATCCAGAAGGCACTCAGAAACAGGAAATAAATGACAATGACTACAGGTTTATGAAGGGCAGCCCTGAGGACCGACCAAAATTTCTGGTGGCTTCTTTTCTATTCATGACTCTTTTCATGAATTTTGTTTTAATTGTGAGCAAATCTATTGACTTTTCTCTGTTGTCTCATTAAACAAGAGAGATGGTGTTAGTACCTTCTCACAAGTATTATGAGTTCATAGCATCCTTAGCGATCATCTAAAATACACCTGGTTCTCTGAATAAAGATCTCACTTGTTACTCACACTCAAGACTGTTGCGTCTGAGTCTTTTGTCTGTGGGCCATGTTGTCAGAGTATTCCATAGGCCATTCTGACATTCTCACTGTGTTGGTTTTTTGGTTGTTTCGAGATGGGGGTCTCCCTATGTAGCTCTGGCTTCCCTGGAACTCAAAATGTAGACCAGGCTGGTCTTAAACTCAAAGAGATCTGCCACCTCTGTCTCCCAAGTGCTGAACGAAAGACGTGGGCCACCACACACAGCCTGTGTTACTGTGTGTGCACCCATATGTGTGCATGTGTGTGTGTGCATGTGTGTGTGTGCCCATATGTGTGCATGTGTGTGTGTGCATGTGTGTGTGCGCCCATATGTGTGCATGTGTGTGTGCCTGTGTGTGAAGGCCAGAGGTCAGCCTCAGATTTCCTCAGGAACTGTCCACCTTGTTTTTTGACCTGGGGGATCACAGATTAGACTGGGCTGACTGCCCAGGGAGAACCCGGCTGTCTCTCTCTGCCTCCCAGCACAGGGACTGCAGGCAGGTGCCACCCATCTATAGTGCCTCGATTTACCTGGGTTCTGTGGATCAAACTCTGGTCCTCAGGCTTGCCAGGCAGGCTCTTTACCGACTGCGCTGTCTCCTTGAGCCCCCTGATGCAGTAGCTTTCCTGTTGCCGCCCATGAAGACACGCACAGGACACCACTGTGCATAAACATGCCGGGCTTTGAAGACTGAAAGATTGATGCTCTCAAACCGCATAGCTTGGCCCTTGAGTAGGAAACGTGAGCATTTGCAGTGGACAGGACGGATTTACGTTCTCTGCGTTTCTCCCTCCTGGGAGAAATATTCCAGTCATGATGCCAATTTAGGATCACTTAAAATACATTTATTATTACCTTACTTTATGTGTGTGTTTTTCCTGCATGGACGTACATGAACCGCATGTGCACCTGGTGCCACAAGATGCCAAAAAGTAGTGTGGGATCCCCTGAGCCGCAGCTACAGAAAAGAAAGTAGTGTGGGATCCCCTGAGCCGCAGCTACAGAAAAGTAGTGTGGGATCCCCTGGAACTGTAGCTAAGATGGTTGTGAGTCTCCTTGGGGGTCCTCTGCAAGAGCAGCCAGGGCTCTTAATTGCTAAGCTGGCTCTGCAACCCCGGATTTTTTTAATTATTCACTTTAGATTTAATCATTTCATAGGAAACAGTCTCTGCCACTCTTGAACACTCGAGTCTTCTAAGTAAAATTGTTAAGGTTTGAGCTTCTTTTAGTTTGTGTGTGTGTGTGTGTGTGTGTCCATGTGTGTCCATGTGTGTCCATGTGTGTCCATGTGTGTGTGTCTGTGTATGTAGATAAGAGGATTACTCACGCAGTAAGTTCTGCTCAGTACATCCTGGGTCACTGCTCAAGAATCATTTGCACCACTCTGTTAGCTGTTTTCCTTCTGTAAGGAAAATAGAGATTGACAGTTGCTGTGATTGACAGGCTTAGTTCTTTTCTGAGAATCATTGAAGGAAACAGGACACATTGATTTCATTGTAGAATCATTTTTTTTTACCTTAAGGAAAATTATGACACAGTTTTTCTTTTTACAGTTCATTTCTGTTTTCTTAGAAATAGTTGGGTTTTTTGTTTGTTTGTTTCTTTCTTTTTTATTTAAATCTAGAGTCTCACTCTGTAGACCAGGTTGTCCTGCATCTCACAGAGGCCCACCTGCCTCAGCCTCCAAAGTGCTGTAATTAATTAAAGTGTATGCTACTACACAGGGCTATAGTTTTTTGTTGTTGTTGTTTTGTTTTGTTTTTTGAGACAGGGTTTCTCTGTGTAGCTTTGGAGCCTATCCTGGCACTGGCTCTGTAGCCCGGGCTGGCCTCAAAACTCACAGAGATCCACCTGCCTCTGCCTCCCGAGTGCTGGGATTAAAGGCGTGCGCCACCAACACCCGGCTCAGGGCTATAGTTTTTAAAAAACTGTGAAATGATTAAATTAAGCTAAATAACATGTCACCATAGCCACTCCAATGTCCTCCACCTCCTGTTTTCCCCTTAAGAAGCAAACATGGGAGTTGGCACTCCAAATACACTAGATGTTCTCCCTAGGTTGGTTCTGAGTCCCAGTGGACACTATTTGGAGACTACCAAAGAATTGTCCCTAGAGCAAGGACAAGACTGGGTTCCTGAGAGCCACTAGTCAGAATGCTGTCCTCAAGAGATGAGCTCTGTGGGCATTTCACTTTGTTTAATAGATATTATTGACATGTTACATTGGACCCAACCTTAAACACCAACAAGAGTAAAAGTGTGAAAGAGGTGTTCCTAGAGAGACCAGACACCTGTTTCTATCACAGAGCAGAAAACAAGTCGTTTTGTCCACCTGCCTCCTCAGGCAACTTAGATTACTCTCCACTTATCCTTAAAGGATCAGGAAATTTCTCCAAATATTGATTCTGGGGTCACAAATACATTTCAGCAAGTAGACTGCTGGCCAGTGTGGGTCTGAGTAACGGGTGTGTAGAGGCTAAGGAGTAAGGCCAGTACACACACTGTGTGAAAACACTGGTGGTTTTCAGCATTCCTGCGATGGGTCATCCATCATCCCTCCCCCCCTTTTTTTTTCTGGCTGCCAGTTTAATCACCCAGCTTCTGGCTGGCCTGAGTCATTTTTCTGCCCCACACAGATAGCTGCGGAAACTGTGTGTCCTATATTCTTTCCTCTGAAGTTGAGTCTTGGGTCCAGAAAGGTCAAGTAACTCATTGGTGACTCAGACTTTCTCCATGACCCCAAAGCCCTGCTCGTCACTGAGCCTGGACTTCCCAAGCTCTTCCCAGAGCACTCAGGATCTTTCAGGGACCCAGGAAGAAGTGTGATGTTGAAGCAGCATGGGAGGCCCTGGCCTGAACAAGGCCAAGCGTCTTCTTTCCATCCCTGGGAACTCTTTTATAAGAGCTCTAGAAAATGTATGTTGTGAGCTTGGAGCTAGCTCATTGGTAATGTACTTGCCTTGAAAACAAAGATACCTGACTTCAACCCCTCCAGCTCCCAAGTTTAAAAACGTTTTAATTTTGGTGTGAAATTTTTGCTGGGGCAATGGACATGGGTGGCTCCCTAGAGCTCCCCAGCTGGCCAGCCTAGCCTAATTGGTGAGTTGTGAGTTAGTGAGAGACCCTGTCTCAAAAAACATGGTGAATGGTTTCTCTAAGACATCAACATTGGCTCAGCACCCCTAGATCTAGTTCTCAGCACAAAGGAGATGTATTTGCCCCAGAGGGACAGAGGGCAGGGAATGAGGGACAAAGACAGGAGATAGAGGACAAAGGAGGGGGAGAAGGGAACAAGAGAAGGGGGCCGGGGTGTTTGCCCTGGTGGGACAAAGGACTGCCTCTGGATAGAGAGGAGACAGCATGGCCCCTAGGAAAATGGCGGTAAAGGTACAAGGGGAAACTCCCCGTGTTAGGTTGAGGTGTTTCATTTTAATTGGACATGTTAATTAGGTGAGCCAGAGGGGGTTTCTGATTGCTGGACTTCAATACTTTGATAGCTGGACCTTGATAGTCAGCCTCAGGAGGAGGAAGTGACCAAATGAGGGACTAGACCCTGGTGGCGATCTTAATGTAATCTAACAGTTTTAGCAAGGCAGAGGGAATGGCAGAAGGGCAAGGCCTGCGGGAGCACTTGAAATGTTCTAGGGTTTTCAGACGAAAGCACATGCCTCTCTATCACTGTGACAGCACACAGCGATTTTACACCTTTAGAGAAAGTGTGCAGGCAGCCGCCTGCTCCAGAAGGGGTGTTACCCTGGTGAAGGGATCATGGGAGCTTCAGCTGTTGGAGCATCAGAAACTGGAAAGCCCTTTGATGTAATTTTTACCTCCCCACCCCTGCCCCCTGCCAAAGGATGTAGAGTGGACTTAATGCAGTTTCTATGGTGTTCTTATGTTCCTTGAGCTGTGTTTACCTCCTGCCATGAACACTGTAAATTTTCAGTTTAACATTTTATTTTGAGTAACTAAACTCTTGAGAAGTAACAGCAACTTGACCTTGTTTTTGTGTCTGTGAACTGTTTGACACTATGTTGCAGACCGATGTCTGAATGCTTCTGTGTATGCCCCTAACAACACAAGGCACAGACAGTGTGTCTGTTTATGTAGGAAGGAAATCTGTTGAACTTGGAAGTACAGTGACTTGGAGGGAGCTGCCTGTATCTCATCAAAGGTTCCTTACTGGGTAGTGTTGGTCCAGCAGATGTTATCAGCGCGGATGACCTCTCCTTTCTCCTGAACCGTGCCCAGCCCTCCCTGACTGGTGCTTTATAGCCTGCACACAGGCATGCAATGCCCCCTCTGAAACTTTATGACCCCTGACCTCTATACCCTAAACCTTGACGATAAGAGTGGCTCTCTTTGCGACTGTGTAGTGACCACTTCATTAACTAGGCCAGCAAGCTTTCCACAAAGGGCCAGGTGTAATATCAGGCTTTGTGAGCCATACCTTCTATTTCAACTACTCAAGTCTGCCTGGAGCCACAAAAGCAGCCACAGACTGTGTGTGAAGAAACAAGCCTCCCTGGATCCCTATGAAACTACTCCATGGACACTAGAATTCCAAGTCATTTCCCTGTGTGTTGAATTGTTATTTTTTAATTTTTATTTATTTGTGTAGTGTTTGTGCCTGCCTATCTGTATGTTTGCCATATGTGTGCAGGTACTACCCACAGATGTTATAAGAGAGTCTCAGATGGAGCTGGAGTTGTAGGTGGATATAAGCCATGCAATATGGGTGCTGGAAACCAAACCTAGGTCCTCTGGAAGAGCAGCAAGCCCTTAGCTGCTGAGCACCTCTTCAGCCCTCATCTTTTCTTTGTCTCTCCAACTATTTTCTGTTGTTGTTGTTTTCGAGACAGGGTTTCTCTTGCATTGTTTTGGAGCCTGTCCTGGAACTCGCTTGGTAGACAGGCTGCCCTGGAACTCACTGAGATCCGCCTGCCTCTGTCTCCTGAGTGTTGGGATTGAAGGCGTGCGCCACCATTGCCCAGCTGCTTCTCCAACTATTTAAAGATGTAACATGTTTTGTTTTTTTTTTTTTTTTTTTTTGCG